CTAGCCTTACACAGTTAGCAGGCTTGGTTTAACCGAGATATGTTTTACGTGACTAGATAACCATGAACGCAAAATTATGGACAGATAAACAGGGCGCATGGCGGCCATTAGTGAACAGTTTAAGCTTCGAATATCCCGTATGAACTCCCGAGGTGAACACAATGCACTCAGTCATCGTTCCCCTCGAGCACGAACATGACAATTGCGATAGTTTTACATGTGATGTTTGCCCTTCTCTATATCGGAGAAAAAAAAACAGCAGTTATTTACTCACCGGCTCGGCTGCACAGACAACCCCCAAAGCAACTCAGTGTCATGATGCTATCCGAATACGCCCAGGTATATGTTTATCATCTCGGCACCACTAATACGCTCCCCTCGCCATCTTCTCCCGCCACCGAGTGGTACGTTGCTACATGCGGTGGGCGGGCAGGCAGGCACTAGAAACTGGTCACCGCTAACACAGCACCGCCACCCGACAATGGTCAGCGCTCCAGCAGTGCAAAAATGCACTTTGAGCGCGGGCGGCGGCGGCGGTGGTGGCGGTGGTGGTGGTGGGAGGGAGAGAGAGAAAGCTGGAGGTAGCAGGAGCACGCACACGCGAGGTGTGTATAACAAGAGGCGGCGGTCCGTGACATGAGCAGTAGCAGCAGCAGCAGCAGCAGCAGTAGCAGCAGTAGCAGTAGTAGTAGCAGCAGCAGTAGCAGCAGTAGCAGCAGCAGCAGCAGCAGCAGTAGCAGCAGTAGCAGTAGTAGTAGCAGCAGCAGTAGCAGCAGTAGCAGCAGCAGCAGCAGCAGCAGTAGCAGCAGTGGCAGCAGTAGTAGCAGCGGCAGCAGTAGAGAGAACAGAGAGAGAGATAGGAGAGCAGAGAAGAGACGATAGACGAGAGAGAGGAGGACGACAGAGAGAGAGCAGGAGAGAGAGAGAGAGAAGAGAGAGAGAGAGAGGAGAGAGAGAGAGAGAGGAGAAGAGAAGTATAGCATTGAGAGAGAGAGAGAGAGAGAGAGAGAAGAGAGAGCACGAGCATGACAGAGAGACTGAGAGAGACGACCGCATGGGAGCGGGGAGAGAGAGAGAGGAGAGGAGAGAT